AATCCTTCTGCCTCAGCCTCCTGAGCCTCTGGGATTACAGGCATGTGCCTCCATGCCTGGCTTTGTTGTTCTTTTTGATACAAGGTCTCGCTAAATTGCTTAAGACCTAGTTAAGTTACTGGGGCTGGCCATGATCCTCCTACCTCAGCCTCCTGAGCTTCTGGGATTATAGGCATGTACCACCACACCTGGCTGTTTATATATTTTAAAACTACAAATTTGGGCTGGGGATGTGGCTCAAGCAGTAGTGCACTCGCCTGGCATGCGTGCAGCCTGGGTTCAATCCTCAGCACCACATACAAACAAAGATGTTGTGTTCACCAAAAACTAAAAATATTTTTAAAATTCTCTCTCTCTCTCTTAAAAAAATAAAAAAAAACCCTACAAATTTAAACCCATACCTTCAATACCAATTTAAAAATCACAGTTTCTGTCAAGAACAGTAAAGTATCTGAAATTTGACCCTGCGTGTCAGCTACCAAGTTAGTATGACACAGTTTCACAGATGTTGGCAGAAGACATGGGACTTTTGGGTCAGCAATATTATTTTGTTTGCTTTTCTGGGTTTCAATTATCGTGTGTGTGTGTGTGTGTGTGTGTGTGTGTGTGTGTGTGTGTGTGTTGCTAGGGATTAAACCCAGGGCTTTGTGCATGCAAGGCAAGCACTCTACCAACTGAGCTGTATCCCCAGCCCTATGGGTTTCAATTATCTTAAATCAAGACCTGTTATCCCACAAATCCTCTTAAACTATGTAGGATTGTTTTTTCTTGTTAGGACTTGGGACCTAATCATACTAACCAAGCTTACTGAAAACTGTTTTTTTTTAAATATGTATTTATTTTTTATTACTTTTTAAATTTGTTTTAATTAGTTACACATGACAGTTGAAAACTATTGACTTACTTTTAGGAATTACCCATTAACATAGGGTACAAGTAAAATGATACACACACAGGATATATATTATAGCATTCTTTATTATAGTGAAAGACGGGAAATAACCAAAGGATCATTAACTACAGATGAGTTGAAAAATTAAGATATGTTCATTCAATGAAATGCAGTGTGATTATGAAGACAATTACATATCATAATATGTACTGGTTGGGATTCATTTTAAGATATATGAATTCCAACCAGTAAAAATAGCAATGTCTATAATAGTATGTATAATTATACTATAATTAAAGTAAAAGAATTTTATATCCTTGTATATGTGTATGTTTACATGTACACAAACATATATTCTTTAGGCCATCTTTATCTTGCTGAAATCCTCCTGTTGTAGTCCAAATAGAACTGTCTCTTGGGAGTTGGGGGTGATAGGAGATTGCCCATTCTTCTCATTGATAGCTCTCAAATGTTTGTGTGGGGTGAATAGAGGGGAGATTTTCATTCTGGGAGCTTTGAGGCAAGTGGGATCTCATGTCTCTCCTTTTGCCTTTCCCAGCTCTACCGCTTTCCAAAAGAGGAACCCAGAGGTCTTTCAACAAATATCAAAGCCATGGCTCAGGTGAGATGCTATTTCCTGTTGCTCAGATAGAAACATTTTTACCTCTAGCACATAGGAACATTTGCTTTCTCATCTTGGTGCTTTTTATTTTTTTAAAAAAAAAACTCCTTTTAGACAGTCTAATTATAAGTAGTGCCAAAGTGTTCTTACTCTTATGTAAAAGAAAGGATATTTAGTAGGCCAGTTTAAAATTTTTTCCATTGTTGGTAATAGTTATAGAAAAAAGAAGTGGCTACATAATCTTATTTAATTTTTATATTCTTAAGTTGTAGATAACAGTTAGGCATCCATATTTCTCTAAAGAACTTTTAATCAGAATTTAAAAAAAAAATTTTTAATATTTATTTTTTAGTTATAAGTGAACACAATGTCTTTATTTTACTTTATATGATGCTGAGGATTGAACCCAATGCCTCATGCGAGCTCTGTACCTCTGAGCCACAACCCCAGCCCCTTAAACAGAATTTTAAAATGGAATTTTCATCAGAAAATGGTTTATCAATCATTCTTTTTATAGTTTGAGCTGTAGATGGACACAGTATTTTTATTTTTTATTTATTTATTTTTATGTGGTGCTGAAAATCGAACCCAGGGCCTCACACTGTGTGGGAAGTGCACAACCCCAACTCCTCATCATTTTTTTAATTGAAAAATTATTTAATGTAAAAACAGTCTGACTGGGTTGGGGTTGTGGCTCAGCTGTAGAGTGCTCACCTAGCACACGCGAGGCTCTGGGTTTAAACCTTAGCACCACAAAAAAATAAAATAAAGATATTGTGTCCATCTAGAACTAAAAAATAAATATTAAAAAATAAAAAAACAGTCTGACCCAAAGCCAGGCGCTGTAGTAAGTGCTTGTAGTTCCAGCTACTTGGGAGGCTGAGGGAGGAAGATCACTTTAGAATAGGAGTTCAAGATTAGTCTGGGAAACATAGTGAAATCCTGTCTCTTTAACAACAACAAAAATCTGACCTAGATCAGGTTTAATGTTTTTTACATTGGTTACCAGTTTCCCCTTTCAGGACCTGAGCTCCATTTCCTCCTAAACAATCCAGTACCCTTTATAGTTGCCTCCATTTGCTGGGGTGGGAGTGGCTGGCGGGGCCGGGTAATAGGATTAAACTCAGGGGCACTTGATCACTGAGCCACATCCCCAGCCCAGTTTTATATTTTAAAATTTAGAGACAGGGTCTCACTGAGTTGCTTAGTGCCTCGCTTTTCCTGAGGCTAGCTTTGAACTCGTGATCCTCCTGCCTCAGCCTCCCAATCTGCTGGGATTACAGGTGTGCACTACTGTACCCAGGTACAGTTTCCCCCTTTTTAAAACAATGTTTACATGCTCCCTTACTAAGTGCTTCCTATCTCCAACTTCTTCCACAAATCCTGATAGTACAGAAATATGTTCCTCATATTGAATTAATCTAATTTGCCTGGACACTTGAATGGGAAAGAAGTAAGCAACTAGGGCACATAGAGAGAAGCACTAATTATCTCCACAAACCTTGGTTTTCCAGTAAGAATTTTTGTAATGGTATTGTTCAACTTCAGTCTTAGTACATGGCAAGTTCTCCTGGTTTATGAGATTTTTAGGTTTGGGAAAATAACTGCTGATTGATTAAAGCTCTAATACTCCAGTATGCATCCATGAGATACTGATATCAAGTGGGACGTGGTAGCACATGGTTGTTATCCCAGCTACTTGGGAGGTAGAAACAAGAGGATCACAATTTCAAGGCCAGCCTCAGCAACATAGCAAACCCTGTTTCAAAATAAAAAATAAAAAGGGCTGAGGATGTAGCTCAGTGATCTAGTGCCTCTGAGTCAGTCCCCAGTACTGGAGGGAAAAATTGATAATACCATTATGTTAATCTGGATCATCCACCATCATTTTTCTATAACTCAGGAATAAGAGGGACTTAAAATTGGACAGTGGATGGTTAATATCGAGCCATTGTCAAGGAGGTCTTTAAAGATCACTTCTGGCCTAATTTTTTGATTGAAGGCAAAAAAAGTTAACATTTATATCCTTACAATAGAATGTTAATCAGTGAGAAATAAATATACTTATAAAAGCATTTATTGTAACAATTCTTATGATAGTAGCATCAGGATGAATTAGTGTTAAATTATATGCAAATTTAATTTTCTAAAATAAAATATTTTTAAAGCCATTTACATATGTTTTCAAGAGAAGTAAAACTCTTCCAGTCCTGCCCCATCTGCATTTAACTTTTTGTTTGTTTATTTGGTTTTTTGGTATGAGAGATTGAATCCAGGGGCGCTTACTCACAGAGCCACATCCCCAGCCCTTTTTAATATATTATTTAGAGACAGGGTCTTGCTAAGTTGCTTAGGGCCTCACTAAGTTGCTGAGACTGGCTTTGAACTTGAGATCCTTCTGCCTCAGCCTCCCAAGCCACTGGGATTACAGACATGTGTCACTGTGCCCAACTTCAACTCTTGAATATGGTTAAATTGCTGTCTTTTGATAAATCTGTTATATTTATGGTCCCTCGATTCACTTCAAAATAAAAAGGGACATCATATTCCCATATTTTACTTTTCATTTTTCCTGACTCTGTTAAGGAAAAACAGAGTCAGGAAAAAAGCCTGGCTTTAAATATCATTCTTCTCTGCATTAAAAAATGACAAAATCATAGAATTTGGAGGGAAATGGATGGCATTAGAGCAGATTATGCTAATCGAAGCTAGCCAAGCCCTAAAAAACAAATGCCAAATGTCTTCTTTGATATAAGGAGATTAACTAAGAACAGACTAGGGAAGAAGAGCACGAAAAGAAGACCAACATTAAACAAAGATGAGAGGTGCGAGGGAAAGGGAGAGAGAAGGGAAATTGCATGGAAATGGAAGGAGACCCTCAGGGTTATACAAAATTACATACAAGAGGAAGTGAGGGGAAAGGGAAAAATAATACAAGGGGGAGGAATGAATTACAGTAGTGGGGGTAGAGAGAGAAGAGGGGAGGGGAGGGGAGGGGAGGGGGGATAGTAGAGGATAGGAAAGGCAGCAGAATACAACAGACATGAGTATATCAATGTGTAAATCAATGGAAGTGTAACTGATGTGATTCTGCAAGCTGTATACGGGGTAAAATGGGAGTTCATAACCCACTTGAATCAAAATGTGAAATATGATATATCAAGAACTATGTAATGTTTTGAACAACCAACAATAAAAAAAAATATCATTCTTACTGGGCATAGTGGCACATGCCTGTAATCCCAGTGGCTCTGAAGGCTGAGGCAGGAGGATCACAAGTTCAAAGCCAGCCTTAGCAACTTAGTGAGACCCTAAGGAATTTAGCAAGACCCTATCTCAGAATAAAAAATAAAAAAGGTTGGGGATGTGGCTCAGTGGTAGAGTGTCCCTGAGTTCAATCTCTGGTACCAAAAAAGAAAAAATTATTCTCTATCAAGCCATCTTATGGCTTTATTCTAATATACTCTTTCATTTTCCCTGGGGTTAATTGTTTCTTCTACTACTTGTTTAGTTGTTTGTGTTGTAGCTAAGAGTTCCCAGTATTGTTGCCACATGCCACAGTCAATAAATTTTCTATCAGGAACACATCAGTTCCCTTTGAACATAGAAACTTCCTTCCTATTCCATTGTCTCCTACTCCCATCTGATCTGGTTATTCTCTAGACCTGTGATATAGCTTTCCTAAGACTTTCCTTTTATCACTTTCCCTGGATCCCCGCCCGCCTCCCATACGCTCTCTCTAGTGTTCTTTACCTGTTTCCTGAATCCCATGTCATCTTTTTCAGGTTGACTCCCTCATTTGGGTGGAATATATCCTCCAGTAGTTTTCCTAGGAAATTGTATTTGAGTCCTTGTATCTCTAGAAATGTCATTTTTAAATACTCAGAACAGAGTAGAGAGTTTGGTTTTAGAATTCTAGGTCAGAATTCATTTTCTCCCCCAGGATATTGAAGAATTGTTCTTATTATTTCTTGCTTTTAGAGTATTCTTGAGAATTCCATTGACCCTCTGATTCTTGATGCCTTTTATATGACCTGCTATCCTTTGGATGCTTTTAATGTTCTGTCTTTATCCCTTATTCTGAAATTTTACTCTTACCTATTTGAGAGAAGGGGAAGAAAAAGAAGATCTCATAGTATTCATGATTTATTGTATGTCAGGTATCATGCAAGGCATTGTGAACACAATTCCATTAATTACAATACTCATCTTGGCTGGATTTTTGTACCTTCCCACCCTTGTTCAGATGATAAAAATATCCCACTAAACAGAGAGTTTTGTCTGGAGAAAATAGAATGACATGGAAGCACAATGATCCTGTTGTGCTCTTTTTTTACAGTCCTCTATATGCATCCCAGACATTCATATGCTCAATGTATTTCACTTCTGCTACCTTAATCTTTTTCTCCTACACAAAACATTTCTTTTTATTAATCAAGTCATATACATGGTTGTTGTTCCAGGAGTCAGTGATGTTCAGTGATGTATCCATAGACTTCTCTCAGGAGGAGTGGGAATGCCTGACTGATGATCAGAGACATTTATACAGAGATGTGATGTTGGAGAATTACAGCAACCTGGTTTCAATGGGTAAGGACATCTGTCCATAATAATTCAGATTCTGCCCTTGGAAGGTTTGTTTCCTCCAGTATGAAATGTTCTCCTACCTTTCATAGACCAGTTGGAGTCCTACATCCTTTCTTTGATCCTTCCTATAATGTCATGTCTTTCTTTACAGTGAGGAGTAGACTTGAAATCTGAGTCAATTCTCATTCTACATTTGTGTCATTACTTCTTTTGTAAGCAGGACATTCCATTTCTAAACCAAATGTGATCTCCTACTTGGAGCAAGGAAAGGAGCCCTGGTTGGTTGACAGAGAGCGGACAAGAGGCCAATGGCCAGGTAAGTGAGGCACAGCAGGTAAAGATCCAGTTGGTTAGTGGAGAGACTACTTCTTTGACATGCTCTCTGAGAAGCTCCCCTCAAAATCTTTAGTCCAGCTGTGCATAAACTTTCAAAGAAGGTTACCTTTTCCCCTTACATAACTCATTTTGTCTGCTTTTCTGCTCTTACCTCCTAATTCTAACTAGCCTGTACTCTCTTCCACCCTGTCTAATGATATTTCTTTCTGTCCATATTTTGGATCCAGTTTCTTCCCAGCTTCTCATCCTCTTGTATTTAGTCTTGTAAAAACATCACTGTTTCCTGAAATATATGTTTTCCTACATTGCCAAATGTCACATTCCTCATGACTAAAATACTCAGGGTCACTCCAGGTGAACTGGTCTACGTGAAATAACCACACAAAGACAGACAAACACCTTTTTCTTTGGGTCCTGTGACGGCTCCTCTGACCTTAAGGGTCCACAGAGAGAGAGAGAGAGAGAGAGAGAGAGAGCACATGCTGAACCCTTCTATTGAGAAGAAGCCATTCAAATGAGGCAAGGGGTTAAGTTTCAGGGGGTTGGGTCTAGCTTCCTGACATCTGCTGTCAGCAGGTTGACTGACATCTAGGAAGGCCACGCCCAAAGACAAAGCAGGAGAAGGAGACACACAAAGGGCATTTCCATGGAACATTCTATTCCCAAACAGGGCAAAGGGTTAGTATTACAAAGGAATAGGTGAATTTAGCTCCTGAAGACACACCTTCTATTTCCAAGGCTGGTACAACGCCTAAGTCACCAGGAAATATAGTAATCAGTCAGAGCCTCTTGCTTCAGGATGAAGGCGTAGGTCATTCAGAATGGCTTCCCACAACCAAATACTTATTTTCTTTAACTAATTTTTCATTTTGGATCTAGGAGCTCCAAATCTTTACTGATTCAATCATATTTTTAACCAGTATTTACTGTTTTACTAACATGTGTTGCAAAAGCAGGGGCAGGTTTGTATGTGTTAAGCTCAAGATACTAATTGGATATAGCATAAATGTCATATAGGCAATTTTATACATAAGTCGAGGTCAAATCAGGTTTGGAGAATTTGGAGAGCCTTCACTATAGAAGTACCCAGCATTGTACTGGATGAGATAACCTAGGGGCATGAGTATATATTAAAGGCAATGACAGCACCCTTAAGTGCCCCAGTGTCTAGAAGTCTACAGAATACAAAGGTATGGCAAAGAATTGTAGGTTGAGCAGTTGGGGATAGAAGCCAAACTCATGGGAGACAGTGTGCCATAAGGAGTAGATATTTTAATAGTTTCTACATGCATTTTCTCATATAATTCTTGGATGCGTGCTCTCTCACTCCCCTTTTTTTGTGGAGGAGTGGTACTAAGCATTGAACCCAGGGATGCTTAATTACTGAGCACATCCCCAACCTTTTTTTTTATTATTATTAGCTGTAGGTGGACACAATAAATTTATTTTATTTATTTTTATGTGGTGCTGAGGATCGAACCCAATGCCTCACACATGCTAGGCAAGTGCTCTATCACTGAGCCACAACTCCAGCCCTCCCAAGCCCTTTTTTATTTTTTATTTTAAGACAGGGTCTGAGTTGCTTAGGGCCTCACTAAGTTGCTGAGACTGGCTTTGAACTTGAGATCCTCTTACTTAAGCCTCCCAAGCTGCTGGTATTACAGGTGTGCGCCATTATGCTTGGCATTTGTGTCTTTATTTTTGAGACAGAGTCTTCTTACTTTGTTACCTAGGCTGGGTTCAAGTAATCCTCCTTTCAAGTAGTTAGGACTACAGGTAAATGCCACTACACTTGGCTTAGTTATTTTTAATACTTTTGTCTTTTAACTAAAGTAAAAAAGCAATTTATATACTACTGGTATATTATTAGAGTCTTCTAAATATGACTGTTTGTACCTTTATAGTGAGTTTTGTATTTTCACATTGTGAATGTCCTTTTGTTTCTATTTGGAAAAAAAAAAAAAAACTCTTGGCATTTCTTATTTTTTCTTATTTTTTTATTCTGATTTATTATATATGACAGGAATGCATTGCAATTCATATTACACATATAGAGCCCATTTTTTCATATCTCTGGATGTATACAAGGTATGGTCACACCATTCATATCTTCATACATGTACTTTGGATAATGATGTCTTTCTCATTGCACAATCATTTTTAACCCTATCCCCCTCTCTTCCCCTCCTACCCCTCTGCCATATCTAGAATTTGTCTATTCATCCCATGCTCCCCCTCCCTACCCCACAATGAAACAGCCTGATGCTGGTTGTTTTAATGAATCATAATTATAGCCATAATATTTATCAGGTGGTTAGTATGTGCCCAATATTGTTAAAACACTTCATGACTAGATTTCTTTTTATTGTCATTTTTTGTTTGTTTTTGATAGAGAGAATTTTTTTAATATTTATTTTTCAGTTTTTGGTGGACACAACATCTTTATTTTATTTTTATGTGGTGCTGAGGATAGAACCCAGCGCCCTGTGCATGCCAAGGCAAGCCGTTACCAGTTGAGCCACATCCCCAGCCCCTTATTGTCATGTTTGTTGAGATATAATTTACATATGGTACAATTTGCCCTACTTAGTTTTATAGTTATATGAATTTTGACAACACAAATATGAAAAAATGACAACATATATGGATGTGTACAGTACTACAGTCAAGATACAGAATATGTTACCTTGTTCTCCTTCACTTCCTTCTTTTTAAACAAATAGAGAAATTAATTTTAATACATTTTCATTTAACCCAATGGATTACCAACATAATTTGCTAAAAAAATAATTGTTAGTAAGATATTTCATGTTCATTTTGTTTATCTTAGTAATTCTTTGGAATCTAATGTCTATTTAACACATACCATACCTCAATTTAGACTAGACACATTTCAGATACTCAGTAGCCTCATGTAACCAATGGCTCCTTTCTCCATCTTTTACCTTTTGGTGAGAGATATGCTGTAGACTGCATGATGAGTCCCTTATCACTAACAGACCAGATCACTTGGAAGACAGGACCTCAGACAATGAAGTGTTATTTTTTGTTGAAATCCATCTGAAAGGGACACCAAAGATATGAACTTAGAATATACAAGAGTAAAGCTGGGTGCTTTATTCTTCCCTATAAGACTCTATTAGACTGTGAGTTGGTTTCTTCATGCTTTTGGTGGGAATAACTTCAGTTAGGTGGCCTTCTCCTAAAAAGTGGCTCTCTCTCATTTCACTTCCTACCTCTCCAAGTCTACAGAAGGAAAGGTGCTTCACAAAATTTGTTGGTTTCCCTCAATCTTACCCTTACCTTTTTAAATACCTTATTAAACAGTTTTTACCCTGATTGATCTTTTTCATCCTTGAATCTTGAGTAATGTTTTTTTTTAATTATAAGAGAGTAAAATATACTCATCTCATATCACAGGCAATGTATATATACATACCAGATTAATTATATATTGAAATATAATGTATAAAGTGCTAAAACTTTTAAAGAAAATATTTGTGTGACTTTGTGAAGAGAAATGGAAAACAAAAAACTACAAAATAAACAAAAGTCTGAAAACTTAGATATTTTTGTGTAAAAATTTATTAAAAAGGCTTGAAAGAGACTTGAATTGTATTACCAGTCATTTTTGTTTATTTAAGATTCTTAGTTGGCATCCATTATTTTTAGAGCTTGGTATATGTTGTTCCAGGATCTCCTAGCTTTGAGAGTCTGGGTTGAAAAATCTGCTGAGATCCGAATTGATCTTCCCTTATAGGTAATCTGGTTTTTCTCTCTTTAGGCCTTTAAAATTCTGTCCTTATTTTGTGTGCTAGGCATTTTTATTATAATGTGTCTTGGTGTAAATCTTTTGTAGTTTTGAATTTTGGGTATCCTATAGGCTTCTTGTATTTGATTTTCCAGTTCATTCTTCATGCTTGGGGAATTTTCTGATATTATTTCATTGACGAGATTGTGCATTCCTTTGGTTTGAATCTCTGAACCTTCCTCTCTCCCAATAAATCTTAAATTTGATCTTTTGATGATATCCCATAATTCTTGGATATTCTATTCATGGTTTCTTACCATCTTCACTGTGAGGTCAATTTATTTTCAAGATTGTATATTTTGTCTTCATTGTCTGAGGTCCTTCTTCCAAATGATCTAGTCTGTTAGTGATGCTATCTATTGAGTTTTTTAATTGGCTTGTTGTTTCTTTTATTTCAAGGGTTTCTGTTTGTTTGTTTGTTTCAGTATCTGTATCTCTTTCTTAAAGTAATCTCTTGCAACCTGTATCTTCATTGGAGTGATTGATTTTTGCCTGTATCTGCTCACTTAGGTCATTCTTTAATTCTCAAATCATTTTAGTTATTTATATTCCGAACTCCTTCTCTGACATTTCACCTACTGAGCTATCTGTGGATTCTATTGTTGTAGTATCTTGATTTGTTTCAGGCACTTTCCTCCTTTGTTTTTTCATGATGTCTATGTGGTTTGGTTCCTGGTTCTGTGAAGTAGTTCTGTCATTTGGGTCCATTGGGTTTAGTCTGGAGCTTGGACATGTGGGGGCCCTGGGTCCTGGATTAACCTGGTGCTGGCTTCCACATGAGTAGGCCTGGGAACCCATAGCATGGGAGTGTTTTTGGAGCCTGGGTACATGTGGGCAGGTCTGAAGTTCTTGTGGGGACAGGCTTGCAACCTGATTATATGGGGATGGGCCTGAGTTATTAGTCTTTGTGGGCCAGCTTGGAGCCTGGGGTCATAGGACTGGTCTATTGCTGGGGTGGGCCTGGAAGTTGGGTCCACTAGGGGTGCTGGCCTGTTTAATTGGTCTGCATAGATTGGCTATCACTTGGACTGGCCTGGAGTCTGGGCCTATGTGAGTCACCTAGAACCTGGGGCCATAGGAGTTAGTCTGTCAATGATGTGGGCTTAAAGTCTTGTGCCAATTTGGTGCTGGGATTAACTGGGACAGACCTATTGTTACCATCTTCAGTAAAGTCAGATACTCAATTTGTTCCTTCCCTGAAATGTTATCTCTGTCCTGTTTCACTGCCTGGGCTTTGCAAAAAGGTGACATGGGTAATATAACACCATCTTCCTACCCTCTTCAGTGTATCTTTTTTCTTATTTCTAAACTCTACTCAGCTATTATAATCTTTCATCTTGATTGCCTAGCTATTGTGAGGGTATTTTCAGACATGTCTAGTTGTTCAAATTGATGTTTCTGCAAAGGGACAAACACCGACAATTTCTATTCTGCTAATAGTTTTTATTGTCTGTTTTAAGGTTTTATTTTAGCTATCATGACTCTAACTTGTAGGTATCTCACATCATTTTTTTTCTAATAAGTTGCTTTATTTTATCAATACTATGTCTCTTAGTCTTACTGAGAATGTGGTAAAAAGTATTTATTTCTAATCTGTCCTCTACTTTTATCATGATCAGATTTAATACCTTACAACTATCAAAAAAAAGTTTCAGTGTGATACATTGTCATATGATTTTGTGTTATTTCAAACTCTTTTCCTTATTTAATTGAGAATGTTATTCCACAGTAATATTAATTACCTACTATGTGCCACATATTTGACAGTATTCCTGTGTGATCTTCTTTTTCATTTTTTTAAATTGTTAATAGACCTTTATTTAATTTATTTATTTATATGCAGTGCTGAGAATTGAACCCAGTGCCTCAGTATGCAAGGCAAGCACTCTACCACTGAGTCACATCCCCAGCCCCCCTCCTGTCTTCTTTTCTCATCCATTTTTTTTAAACTTCATTTTAATTCACTCATTTCAATTGAAGTTTCATTCTTCCCAAATAATAAAAATGTTGAGTGAGTGCTTTTGTATTTTCTTTCAGTCCTGGAATCAACATGTGAGATCAAGAAGTTATTTCTGAAGAAAGAAATTTATGAAATAGAATCAGCCCAGTGGGAGATAATGGGAAGATTGACAAGACATGACCTTCAGTGCTCTAGTCTCACAGATGATTGGGATTGTAATGGCCAGTTTGAGAAACAACATGGCTCTCAGGACAGGCACTTCAGTGAACTGATAATCACCCATGAAGATGTGCCTACTTTTAGTCAACACCCATCCTTTACATTACAGCAACTTATTAATAATAAAGAAAAATACTGTGCAACAAAAGAATATAGAAAAAATGTTAGACATGACTCTGAATTTACTACACATCAAATTATTCATACCATTGAGAAACCTCATGAGTGTAAGGAGTGTGGCAAGGCCTTTAGACATCCCTCAAGACTTGCTCATCATCAGAAAATTCACACTGGCAAGAAGCCCTTTGAATGTAAAGAATGTGGGAAAACATTTATTTGTGGCTCAGACCTTACTCGACATGACAGGATTCACACTGGTGAGAAACCCTATGAATGTAAGGAATGTGGAAAGGCTTTTAGTAGTGGTTCCAACTTTACTCGACATCACAGAATTCACACTGGAGAGAAGCCTTATGAATGTAAAGAATGTGGGAAAGCCTTTAGCAGTAGTTCAAACTTTACCCAGCATCAGAGAATTCACACCGGAGAGAAACCTTATGAATGTAAGGAATGTGGCAATGCCTTTAGTCAGAGTTCACAACTTATTAAACATCAAAGAATCCACACAGGTGAGAAACCCTATGAATGTAAAGAATGTGAAAAAGCTTTTCGTTCTGGATCTGACCTTACTCGACATCAGAGAATTCATACTGGTGAGAAACCCTATGAATGTAAGATTTGTGGGAAAGCCTACTCGCAGAGTTCACAACTTATTAGTCATCATAGAATTCATGCTGGTGAGAAAACCTGTGAATACAAGGACTGTGGAAAGAACTTTAATTATAGTTCACAACTTATTCAGCATCAAAATCTGTACTGGTGATAAACCAGAATATATAAAATGGGTGGGAAGGTTTTGATTATGGCTCAAAACTTTTTGACTATCAGAGAATTTATCTTTCTGATAACCCTTCTAAACATAAGAATGTAGAAACATTTATTTATTAACTACAGCTTATTTAGTCGAAGAAAAATCATGCTGGAGATACATAATATAAATAGAATATATTTTGGAAGCTTTTTAATAAAAATTCATTTTTCATTTGAATTCAGATTATTCAGTCTAGTAAATATTAAAAAAAAAATACTTGACCTTTCTGATATTCTTATACATCATAGAATTCATGCACACATATAATCCTGTGATTTTCATTTTCTTTTTTCCTTTATTTCTATAATTCTTACATTATTGATATTTTAATCTATCTTAAATTTATGACTATAAAGATGTTTTTACATCATGTTTTGTAAAATGCCTTTATTTTTAAAATATCTCTAATAACTGAGAGAAGTAACCTTTTTATTTTTGAAGATGCCTTTTTTAAAAAATGATATTGGGGATTAAACACAGGGGCGCTCTACCACTAAACTACATCTCCATCCCCTTTTTATTTTTATTTTGAGACAGGGTCTCACTAAATGGCTGAGGCTGACTTTGAACTTGAGACCCTTCTGCCTTAGCCTCCTGAGTTGTTGGAGATTTACAGGTATATACCACCATGCCTAAGTGGCTTGTTCCTTTTAGCTCTTATAAAATTAAGGATTTCTTTTAGTAAAAATATTCATAAAAGATGTTCCACTCAATAAATAGGGATTTTTAAACACTTTCCTGATGTTTCCTTGTGCTACTATGATGTCTTATTAAATCCCTACTAATGGACATTGTACTTTCCTCCATTTTGCCACGATACATGCAAAAATGCATGTCCCTCATAGAAATTCTCTCTAGGCATATCTGTACTATGTGTTTTATTTTAATGTAGAAATTAGTCATGAATATGTTTTGCTTATTAAAAATGTTATAAACATTACAAATAAGGAAAAACATATCCACTGACTGCCATCCTTCTATTCATTCCCCTTTCCAAAAAATTAGTCATTTTCAGTTTGTTACTTACCCTTCCTGATACTGTTTCTATTTGAGAGTCAAGATGTCACTGTTGCCCAGACTGGGCTCAAACTCCTGGACTCAAGTGACTCTTGCTTCAGTTTTCCAAGTGGCTGTGACTACAGATGTGTGCCACCATGCCCAGCCCTGTTTTTTTGTTGGTGGTGGGTTTTTTTGTTTGTGTGTTTGTTTTGTTTTGTTTTTTGTAGATGGACACAATACCTTTGTTTAATTTATTCATTTTTATGTGGTGCTGAGGATCGAAACCAGTGCTTTACACATGCCAGGCAAGTGCTCTAACATTGAGACACAACCCCAGCCACCCCAGCCCTGTTTTTATAGATGTATTTCTCAGTGGAAATTATAAAATGGAGATATTTATAATACCTACCTCATAATACTTCTCGAGGATTAAATGAGTTGAGACAAGGTGCTTAAAATTGTGCGGGCCATGTAATAAATACATATTTGCTGTATGTTAATCATTGTTTTTATATTCATTGTTGTCATCAGTATTATTTGTTGAAAGATATTAACTTTCTGAAGACCTTACCATTAAGCAGTATATTAAAGACCATGTAAGAGTAATATGTTAAGAAATTTTTCCATGATCACTTCTTTCCTATTGAACATGAAATAATCCTGGGTGTTGATGGGGGAAATGTTAATAATATGTGGGAAGGACTTAGACTAATCTCCTTTTTGCTACATCATATGATACCTGGTATAAAAAAAACTACAGATAGAACGTTGGTGATGCTCATGAAGAAAACAAAAAACAAAGATAAACAGCATTGTTTCATGGGAGAAACATTCAGACTTTGTTATTCTGAATATAATGTTTTTTCAGAAACATTTGAAAACCAAAAAAATTATTTTTAGGTTAATACAAATATAAATTTAAACACAAGGAACAGAATAAATTAGCATGATATCAATTAAATAGTTATAATGAAGCAGCAAAACCAATTTCTTTTTAATCAAAACTTTATCAAATATTCAAAGAACCATTATATAACAGTAGATGTCTCCTTTTGCCATTCTAAAAATCTTGATGCTAGCAGTTGATTAGGGAGGTATGAAAAAGACTGCTGTTTTTCACTGTCAGATAAAGCATATGTGTACCCTAAACAAATGATCCAATGGTAAGTGTCTATTTAATAAAGAAAATTAGAAACAAACCTCGTTGGGACACGAGATGTCCAGTGTCCCGTTCAAGTCAACTGTGATGTTCTAAGAAAATACAGGCCCAGAGAGAGAACCCAAAAATTCACTTTGTCATCAGGGTTTTTGTTACTAGTGGTAATAGTGTTTTGTTGTTGTTGTTCTTAGTACTGGGGATAGAACCCAGGGCCTCACATATCCTGAGCAGATGTTCTACCACAGAGCTATGTCCTCAGTCCGTGTGTGTGTGTGTGTGTGTGTGTGTGTGTGTGTGTGTGTGGTGCTGGGGATTGAACCCAGGACTTTGTGCATGCAAGGCAAGCATTCTACCAACTGCTATATCCCCGCCCTCCCAGTCCTGTTTTTTGAGTCAGGGTCTTGCTAAATTGCCCAGACTGTCTTTGAACTTGTTATCTTCCTGCTTCAGTCTCTGGAGTAGTGTGGATTACAGATGTGTGCCTTTGCACCTGACCAAATATCTACATTTTTGAAGTGATAGCTCCTGATTTATAATTGATCATTCATAAAAAAAAAAAAAAAACAGGGCCAGGTGGCACTCACCTTGTAATCACAGCAGCTGGGCAGGCTGAGACAAGAGGATTGCCAGTTTGAAGCCAGCCTCAG